CCCTTTGGCCAGAGAATTTCAGGTACTTTTTTGGCTACAATTCCATAAAGTTTTGCATAGCATGAAGCAGAGTTCTAGCTGTTTAAAAGGGAGGAGATTAGTGTATGTATAATTTGTAAATCTTCCAGTACATATGTACAAGTTTACATTGTATACATGTCTCAAAGTTTAGAACACTAAAATGGGTAGCAGAAACCCTTTACAACATTTGAACTTGACAATTTACAAGCATAAAACTCACCTGAAATGTTTCTTCTTTTTTTCTGGAAGTGCAAAAGTATGTTGATGAATGATCAGAAGGTGCTAATAGTCCAAGATGATTTCTGGAAAATTTGCATCGTTTCCATCAAACAAGTCCTTCGAGGTTCATGGCTTCAGACTGGTGGCAAAATCAAGCTTCTTGTTGTCATTCAGGCATTCAAGAGTTCTACGGGATGTGGAGCACTGCTAAGTAAGAATTTAAAGGTTTTGCTGGAAATAATTTTTGGCATATAACTACAGATCTGTTGCACCTGTATGCAAGTGCACTATCCCAGTGGAAAGGGAGCAGTTAGCGTTCTGTTTCCTTTACTGATCTAGCAATCAACCGGTTAAAGTGGCAAAAAATGATTCGCGTAGCCCACCCTAAATTTATTAGGACGAAGGGTTAGTTTTCTGTTGTGATTCTGTTCCCCTTATTAGTTCTAGGTTTCATGCAGGTTGTGACAGATATTTGCATTCAAGTGCAAAAAGCAATAAGAAAAAAGAAGACAGAGAGGAAGAAATTCAAGAAAAGATGGTCGAATATTCAAAAGATGCAGCGATTTCAGAGATATCGAAGCTAGCTGAAATGCAACAGGTAATTGACAATTTCCACAACAGTTTCTTGGCTGAATCTGAGAAAACAACATTGAATCACATGATTTCTTGAATCAAATAACGTTCGAACATGTTAAAACCTTTACTTGTGGAATATTACAAGATGTTGATGAGTATTTCTGCTCAAAGTTAAGAGCAAAATTTATGGATGATTTGATCAATTAAAATTGCAGAAGGTGCACATAGAGATCTGCAGTGGAAAAGAAAGCAAAAGATATGCACTAAAGTATCTAAACAAATAATGAAGTATTACCATGTACGTGTAGGTTGAATTTGAAATAGCAGTGGAGGCAGGCAAGCTCAACGTGGTTGCTGTAGAATATGCCAAGAGATTTGAGGCAACACATGTGATCCTTCATAGGTACTCACAATTTGCATCTCTCTGACATGGTATTCTATAGCTACTAAAAAATTTAGAATGCCAAAAAGTTATGAAGAAAGAAGGAACTGCAATTTTTGAGCGTGAATTGCACCATCAGCTGATCTATATATAATTTACATCGTTGCATAAAATGATGGATATATATAATTACATCTTTGAGCATGAATCACACTATCAGCTGATATATACAATTACATCTTTGCATAATATGATGGGATATCAGCTAAGCATTGGATTCTTAACAGTAGCACACCTCAAACTCTCGATTAGGAAATGATACAGATAAATCTACCTTAAGGCCTACATTGAGGAAATACAGAATATCTAATTTGCTTTCTGGATTAATACTCATGGGATACTACTGATAAGATCGTCTGATTACAGCGTACATTTAAACAGAATCCTAAGACAAAAAGTACGTACAGGGTCTAAAGATCAAAGTGCACCATAAGTGAGTGCAGAAATGCAGACATGTAATACTGGCGCAGTTTTTTATGTCATGGACAGTTTTTTCATTCAAATGGCATCTTAGTTAGCCCATTTTTGTCTCTCATTCTTTCAGAGCTCCTTTTTCTGCATAGTTATTTTCAACCACACACTCACACAAGAAAATATTCTACACGTAAATCCAAAATTTTTCCCTACTTTTTAACCATACATTCTCCAAAAATTCTACTATTCAAAACAATGTTTTTCCAAAAAAAAAAAAAACAGCCCATCAAACAGGGGCTTCATAAAACTTGACCTCTTCATTCCGCATCTTTGGAAAAACTAAAAAAATTAAAGCAATTTAGAACGAGCTTGCAG